AAGCCAAGTCCTATGCCAAATGCGACTAACTAATGTATAGTGCTGCACCTGCCACGCTAAGAGTCCACGCCATAATTGTCCTTTGTAAGTAATTTTCATAAGAAAAAGAATTCAATTATATGTCAGGTTTCGCATCACGCAGAGAACTCTGATGGAATCAAATTCCCTTGTTGAAAGTTCTTAATCTTTTTCCACCGTAAATAATGCCTAATGTGGAAAACCCCACTTCATCAGGTATTTGAATACAATCAAATAGAAACCTCCAAGGGTGATTAAAATAAAATGTTAAGGTTGCTTATTTACTTAAAACAAAGATAATTAAATTCACATAGTATATGTTTTATTAATGGGGATGCATGCTTGGCATTGAGAAGTATCAAAACTCATTACATTACTAGAACATGATTATATTATAATTCTCAACAATAATTTCTTTGACTTATCCATATGGAAGGATCGATTTCATTGTCATAATTGCCCCAAGTCAATGTCTGCTTATATATAAACATTTTTTTCTTTTTATTCTTTAATTTTACTATTCATACACCTAGATTCAAATGTCATGCCATGACTAATCAATATGCCATGCTGAAGGTGATCTTGAATTTCAATGGTAGCTATGTTTGAAACGACATTAATGAATTTAGTCATTGATTAATCCAAAGGATCTCTGTATATATCCAAATGGATTCTTTTTCCCACCCATAAAGCTTCATTAAGTTGACAATTACTTTCAGTTTCTTATAACTTTGTTATCACTTGGATTATAAGGTCACCACTTTCACTAAAAAAAAAAAAAACTTTGTTCCCATGGATTTCATAAAGTTTTGATGAATTTTTGTTGAATCTCATGAAAACAAATTTCTAGTTATTTTTGTAGAATTTTTTAATTAAAAATTTGATAGTGTTTGTAGAAAATTCAGATGAGTAATTGTTGTAAACTCAGATTTTATTTGTGTGTATATATCAAGAGCAATTAATTAACTCGGTTTGACTAATTTTTTTGACTCAATATTACTTGTTTGAGTGAGATGTATGGATAATTTAATTATATATACATATACCTATATATTTGTGACAAGTGTTATAAAGACACTTTCAGAGTTAATTACAGTACTATTTTCATTAAATGTAGCAATTAATATTTGTGTGATAATTTCAATTCATTAAAATAAAATATTTATTTAATATGATAATTCTAAAAGAATATATTAAGATCAGTCTCCAGTAAAATTCATTATCATATACGCTGGGGGAAGAAGTGTATAATCTTTTGATAGTTCCGTACTGGAGATTGACGTTTAAGTACGAAGAGGGAACAGTGATATCTTCACCATAGATTGAGTTGACGTGTTACAAAGCGTGTCCAAATTGAAAACGGATTTCCCGTCAGTTTATTAGTCCTATCCAATCACAAAAAGACAAATTAATCCTGCTTGAAACATCATTAACGCCATCCTTAGCCTCGTTAATTAACAGGAATTGATTTTGACTAGCAAGTTGCCTGCACAGTTGCATTTAATCTAAGGGAAGGAGGGCTTGGTTTTGATCAGTCAAAAGACGGTAGCGTCCAACGGACAAAACCATGGACGGTATTCATCACCCAACGTTCGATTGTATGACTTTGACACTAAAAAAGGGCCGTCTGATCCTATCATGAAGTTTTTTCCTTTACGGTTCAAGAGTCTTAAATATAATTTTATAAAGAATTTAGTTAAAATTATAATATTGTTTCCTAATTACACTATAATTCCAATTATTATTACTTACTTAGATTGTATTATGTAATCAAAGTCATAATATGAATATGATTAATCTTGTTATATATAAATGTACCTCATTCACCTCTGGAATATACACAATTTTTCATAATAACGAGTTGCTTGCTTACATCAAAGTGCGACTCTGCTTCTTGGCATCGCTGAAGAATCGTCCGAATCAACTTTGAGCCACCGACGTAGATCTCAAACACCACAAGTGCTGCTCCAGGACTTGCCGATTAAGTTACGTATCGATGGCCCTGTTAGATTTTGTGATGACACTTTGCTTTCTTATTTATCAATGTTTTTTTCTTCCTGTTGCACTTCTTCTTATTTGCTTTCTGACCTATTTGTTAAGTTATCTTCCAATGCTACTACAAATTCCCATGAGCTTCCTCATATTTCTGTCCTTTTTGTTCGTGTCATTGATTCTGCCCCTAATGTTCATGTTGCTGTTGTCACTGACCGATCTGTTGAGTTATTTCCCAAGCTTCCTCATATACCTACCTCTGATGAGTTATTTCCCACAACAACGGATGAGGAGTTCTTTCCAACAAACACCGATGAGGTTTCTCCCAATTTTACTTCGAATACTTCCAATGAGCTTGCTCATGTTCCTGCCCTTGTTATTCTTGTTCCTGTAATATATTATAATATCTAATTAGAGTTAGACTTGAAGATATTTTTTTTCAAAGAGTTAGAGTTAGATTTTGAACATATATAATTTTTTTTATCGTGATATTGTATCTAATTAGAAAACAATATCTAATTAGAGTTAGATGATGAATAGAATTAGTTTTATATACACTCGATTTACCTTTGTAATCTATTTTTTTCTTCAATGCGAGATTATATATTAAGCGAAATATATTTTTCCCTTTGGTGATTTGCTGCTGTTATATTGAATCTGTTTTGAGGAGTTCTCATTTTTCTGATGAGACTCTATTCATGAATTTATATACTCTGCTATTCAAAAAAAGAAAAAGAATTCTAAAGGGCACTTAATGAAAGCTACAGCCAAATCAAGCCTTTCAAAGTACATCATCCAAGAATTTCAATCCAGCAAATTATGCTAAACAAATGATTTCCGATCATATACTTTCATGTCATTTCCATCATTTGTATTTAATTATTTAAAGGATAACTTGTAAAGTAACACAAGGCTTGATTGAAGAAGTGTTTCGTTATATCTATGTATGGTTTCATATAGATTAAAAATTCGTGATGTTTAGGTAGGACGTTAACAATTATATAAATAATTATAAAAATTAAATTATTAATTAAATATACTAAGAATTTAAACACATATTACACTACGTCTTTACACAAATCAAATTAATTTTTATTTGATATGACATAATTACTATAAAGCAGGCTTATTTAAACACAATTAATTTATTTGAATGAATATTGTAAACGGATTCAACATATCATATTATATGAATTAATATGATAATATAATTAATTAAACAAATTAAATATATCATATATGAGTTAAACGAGTTTAACTCATTTAAAATACGAAATTTACATAATTTCATATCACGGATTGAATTTAAAATTACTAAATCTAATTTAATCTTTATTAATTTTTTTCGTCGAGAGAGACATCAACTATAAATTTTTTTGATAAAGACATGAATCGTGTAAACATTCACTCGCACAATTGCCTTCTTATAATTGGTGGCTTTTCTTATACACAAATATTAAATCAAAGTATGCATATACTTCCAAGATGATTAAAATGAACAAACTCGAGCAAAGCGAATAACTCCGTGTAGGGTGCTTTATGGAAATTATGTTATTTTCTTTAGTCCACGACCATCCAGTTCACTAGCTAACGTAT